TGTGTGTGTGTGTGTATCTCTGTCTCTCTCTGTCCCCGTCTCTCTGTCTCTGTCTCTGCCTCTGCCTCTGTGTCTCTCTGTCTGTCTGTGTGTCTGTCTGTCTCTGTCTCTGCCTCTGTGTGTGTGTGTGTATCTCTGTCTCTCTCTGTCCCCGTCTCTCTGTCTCTGTCTCTGCCTCTGCCTCTGTGTGTGTGTGTGTGTGTGTGTGTCTGTCTGTCTCTGTCTCTGCCTCTGTGTGTGTGTGTGTATCTCTGTCTCTCTCTGTCCCCGTCTCTCTGTCTCTGTCTCTGCCTCTGCCTCTGTGTGTGTGTGTGTGTGTGTGTGTCTGTCTGTCTCTGTCTCTCTCTCTGTCCCTGTCTCTCTCTCTGTCTGTGTGTGTCTGTTTCTCTCTCACACTCTCACTGTGTCCCCCCCTCTCTTTGTATATAATTGTAGGAGATGTAACTGCATGAAGATCTCTACTCCTGAAGATGAAATTTGCCACTTTCGCTTTTTCTTGAGTCGCCTAGTTTTGCAACTCAGGTTTTCCCTCCGCCACTCCACTGAATCGTGTTCTATAACTTCACCCCCAAAGTGACGTTAACGAAACCCTTCCTTGGTTGGACCAGCCGATGGGAGGAGGCCGGAACTCATCAAAATCCGAGTCCCGTCAGGCCAGGAGGGACCGCTGGCCTTGGAAATCATAAGGATTTCATAAGGATAACAGAGGCTATTATTCTCAACCCCTTGCGTAATATTTGTTTGGAGTCCTGTGCAAGTATTTCGTAACTGGTTGTGTGGAGAAACAAAAAAGAATTTAATTAAAAAAGTCAACAACGTTTCCCTGTATCGTTCAAATGTAAAATCTGGAGAGGGCAAGCAACAGCTGCTCTCTAAGAATCAGTTCTTAATAATAAAGAAACTCTAATAAAGGGGAAAACATTGGCTCTGAAACTGTTCTTCAGACACACCCACTTATGCAAGAGTTGTGGGTGTGTGAATGCCAACAAAAACTCCAAAGCCATTGACGTTCGCAAAGTTTTGTGTTTGTTCTTTGTTTTTTTAAATCTCTGGTGGTGTTTTTAGAAAGGGGACAGAATAATGGAGTAAAAGCGATGTTTGTGAACACCCAGAAAGCTGCTTGCTGTCATATTTTGATGCAATAGGCAGTTACTCCAGCAAAACACAATAATCCTGAATTTTGGAATTTGGAACATTCAATTTATAACGTCCAATATTTTAAGTCCTTGGGGTTTTTTTTTGGGGGGGGGGGCTCTATAGACTTTCTTATTAACTTTTAGGTAGTGTGGAAAGAAGGTAGGAAGGAAGGAGAAGGGGAAGGGAAGGAAGGGAACGGAGGAAGTAAAGGAAGGGGAAGTGAAGGAAGGAAGGAAGAGGAAAGGGAGGGAAGGAGGAAAGGAAGGAAGTGGAAGGGAAGGAGGGAAGGAAAGGGAAAGGAAGGAAAGGAGGAAATGACGGAAGTAGAAAGGAAGGAAGGAAGGGGAAGGGGAAGGGGAAGGGAAGGAAAGGAATGGATGAAGTGAAGGAAGGAAGAGGAAAGGAAGGGAAGGAGGAAAGGAAGGAAGTGGAAGGGAAGGAGGGAAGGAAAGGGAAAGGAAGGAAAGGAGGAAATGATGGAAGTAGAAGGGAAGGAAGGAAGGGGAAGAGGAAGGGGAAGGGAAGGAAGGGAATGGAGGAAGTGAAGGAAGGAAGAGGAAAGGAAGGGAAGGAGGAAAGGAAGGAAGTAGAAGGGAAGGAAGGAAGTGGAAGGGAAGAAGGGAAGGAAAGGGAAAGAAAGGAAAGGAAGAAATGAAGGAAGGAGAAGGGAAGGAAGGAAGGAGAAGGGGAAGGGAAGGAAGGGAATGGAGGAAGTGAAGGAAGGAAGGAAGAGGAAAGGAAGGGAAGGAGGAAAGGATGGAAGTAGAAGGGAAGGAAAGGAAGTGGAAGGGAAGGAGGGAAGGAAAGGGAAAGAAAGGAAAGGAGGAAATGACGGGAGTAGAAGAGAAGGAAGGAAGGGGAAGGGAAGAAGGAAGTATGAAGGAGAAGGAAGGAAAGGAATATCCAAATTATTTTCAGCAAAACGATGAGGGAAGCACTCTTTTTTTTTAAAAAAAAACAGCCTCAGAAGAATAAAGGAACAAGAGAGAAATATTTGCATTTAGTAATCCAAACAGGCTTTTCTAAGTAGGATATTTTAAATGAATTATTGTTAATCTAGGTGTAATTCGTTGCCAACCTCTCCCTCCCCCTGGTTACACGAAGCCTTCAGAAATGAAATCATTAGTGTAACTGCATATGCTGTTCATTCTCTTCGAGATGGGGGGGAAAAAACCCCTGAATAATTCTGTCGCACAAGGCCATATGCATCAAGGGCTAACAAGATAACATTAATAAGCATTTTGCAGAGAAAATTAGATCAATAATGCTTCGATGGCACAACATCTAATTTGAAAGCGATACCCCCGATGAGTTGGCAGAAGACAAGCAAGGCATTTCTCGATGCCTTCACCTTCATTCCACCTTCTTTTATTTTTCGCTCCGGTGGAAGGCAACGCAGGCCGTCCTCAAATTACAACCACCGCCGAGCCCAAAATTTCTGTCGTTAAGTGAGACAGCTGTGAAGGGAGTTTCGCCCCCATTTCCTGGCCACCGCTGCTAAGCGAATCACCGCAGGTCATAAGTAGGAGTCAGTTGCCAAGGATCTGAATCTTGGTCCTGTGACCGTGGGGATGCTCCAATGGTCGTAAGTGTGAAAAAACGGTCATAAATTCACTTTTAACCAACCTAAGAGAAAATCCCTAATGGCGAGAACGATTCATGAACACAACTTGCCTCCAGAAGGAGCTTTTCAAGAAATTGGACAGCTCTTTGTCCTGAATGGTAGAGGGTCTCCTGCTTCAGCAAGGGGTTGGATGAGAAGACCCCCAAGGTCCTGTCTGACTCTGTTATTCTGTTATAAAACCATTTTTGAACCATCCCTGAAAATTAAAGTACAACAACAACAACAACAACAACAACAACAACAACAACAACGGAGCTGGAAGGGATCTTGTAAGTCATCCAGTCCAAACAGGAGACCCTACACCATTTCGGACAGATGGCCGTCCAGTCTCTTCTTGAAAGCTTCCAGGGATGAAGCTCCCACAACTTCTGAAGGCAACTTCTGTTCTTTACAGATTAACAGAGTTGGAAGGGACCTTGGAGGTCATCTAGTCCAACCCCCTCTGCCCAAGCAGGAGACCCTACACCATTTCTGACAGATGGCAATCCAGTCTCTTCTTGAAATCTTCCACTGATGAAGCTCCCACAACTTCCGAAGGCAACTTCTATTCTTTACAGATTAACAGAGTTGGAAGGGACCTTGGAGGTCATCTAGTCCAACCCCCTCTGCCCAAGCAGGAGACCCTACACCATTTCTGACAGATGGCAGTCCAGTCTCTTCTTGAAAGCTTCCAGGGATGAAGCTCCCACAACTTCCGAAGGCAACTTCTATTCTTTACAGATTAACAGAGTTGGAAGGGACCTTGGAGGTCATCTAGTCCAACCCCCCTGCCCAAGCAGGAGACCCTACACCATTTCTGACAGATGGCAGTCCAGTCTCTTCTTGAAAGCTTCCAGGGATGAAGCTCCCACAACTTCCGAAGGCAACTTCTATTCTTTACAGATTAACAGAGTTGGAAGGTACCTTGGAGGTCATCTAGTCCAACCCC